GTGCAGCGGGCCCGGTCTGCTGCCGGCCGGCCGGTCGATTAAGCGGCACGACGCTAATGTCATGGGCTTTGCAGCGGGCGTTGTCATTGGAGACGACGGAAACATCCTTTGTTACCGACTTTTTGGGAGGCTGCGTCAGCCCGCGGAAATGCCGCAGTCAGCGAAACCTGATTGTCGTGTTGAAACAGGACATTCGGACATTTCTACGGCGATCACTATCCCACAACTTCTCCTCGAAGTATTATCACGCATTTTGTCCCCACAGTTTGCCAGTTTGAAGTCACGTGATGTATAAGGCAGCTTTGGCCGACGTCTTCGGGTCCCAGAAGCGCACGCGCGCAGCAGAACGAATTGAATATAGATTTTTCATCCAAAATTTCCGACGAACAACATGTTTGTTTCTGTCCGTGCCCGCCCTATTGTAAAGCACCTCCGTCCGGCGGTTGGTGCGGCAGCGCGCGCCGGCGGAGTATCCGAGGACCCAGTCCGGCCGGGCCGACCAGGCTCGTCCCAGTTAGCGGCGCTCGTTCGGCACTGTGTACGTACGCCGCCACGATCCGTCCAGCGCGTGCCGAGTTCGTCCAGCGTGCGTGCCGGGCACGTCGAGCCGAGCTCGGCTCCGCAACAGCTGGTCAGCGACGCACCGGTGCTTGGCTCTAGGATGGGGTCAGAAATACCGCGCTCTGCGCTCGCTCAGAAATACCGCTGTTTACTGAGATGTCACTGTTTAGGGCGCCGTTGGACGCCGGGTCCTTGACTTCGGCGTGCTATTTGTACAGCCGTGGACCGGTGCGTTGGGGGTTAGCGTTTTGACGTTGAGCAGGTGGTCCTGAGGCGGTCTGCTCGGAGCGTCGCCTCCACCTCAAAGGCCTGATACTCGGTATCGGGCTGCTGTTCATTTCAATGACCCCATCACGGCACTCGGTCAGCAAGGCTGCAAGCTGGTACGCAGTCGATCAGCGGCTGAACGGATCGATACCTAACCCGACGGTTATTAAACGTCCATTCGCACCCGCGCCTTCCTGTAAAACTGCTGCATCGATCCTCGTAAATGTCACTGCGCTAGTAGATTAATGTTTTTGGGAACGGTTATCGGTCGTGGTTCCGATGCTTCCGTCCACTACGCAGTGTGCTTTTCACCTGCGAAAATTGGGTTAAGTTCATCGGACATGAAAGCTGAGAGTGCTGGCAAGATGAAGGCGATCAAGTAACCCCGACTTTATTTGAAGGCTCTGAAGGATGTGAAAAGCGGGCAAAACATTTGTCTGTTCCGTGCGACAGCCGTCGATTTTTCGCGGGTGATTGGAGACTTTCATGCACTCTTTAATCGTGTTCGATGCATTCTTGCCCTAGTTTTACGGTTGTGGGTTGATGCATCGTGGCCGGCTGGTCGCATTATCTCGCGTGGAACCTCGGAAGATGCGTCCTGTACTTTCCATCAGGAAGGTACATTGCCACGCAATGAATGGGGTTAATCATCTTTTTATGCGTTTATGAAATCCGCACTTTAGTTTGTTTGATAACTGAAAGATTTGTTAACTGTGATACGACCAGGGAACGTGATATTAAAGCATCGCGTCCGGTTGAAAACAATCCGTCCTGTTCATTAACATCTTCCTTTCTGTTCGAAATGCAATTTAGATGAACTAAGAATTGCCGCCGTTGCCGTTCCGTTAAATTGAATTGAGTTGTTGGTGTGTACTTCGGCAAATGAGTATAAGTTCATCTTGTTTTATGAAGCCAGATGTGTAAAACATACCTCCGTTTAGCCTTCCAGAAGTTTTAGTTAGTACGCTGCTCCTCAATATGACTTTTCTGGACTTGATCCGTAGTTACGTTGTCTTCTGCCAGTGGATGGCTTATGAGTACCTGGCCCTCCTTTGCGAAGTAGTAATTTATCAACCAGAGATCCTCGGCCTGATTCCACTCCCGGGAAACCAGAGGTCCTCGGCTTGATTCCACTCCCGGGAAACCAGAGGTACGTGACTCGCTTCCACGCGGTGCCTGCCGTCCTTGCCAGAGTGAGAGGCAGGCGACGCCATACAGCCTGAGCGGTTGAATGCCGCCCAAAGCCACAATGGCATGACATGATAACGTCAAAATCCCACGAGACTGTAGTACACTGCCGTGGCTTTGGGTGCGCGCTATCGATCGTACCAAACACGGGCTCAGTAGGACTTGTTTCGTGCATCTTGAACCCACCGCCCGGCATGAGCCGATTCCAACTCTTTAGACCTTAATAGATCAGCGCTTTTGCCAGGGGCCGCCCCGGACCAGGTTTATCATTGTGTTCGCTTCTCCCTGGCTCCGGACTCATCGGGACGGCGCTTGAGCAACTTTGTTCTGGTCGTCAGTGACATAGTCGTACCTGCTCTTTTGCCCGGCTCTGAGAGCCAGAGTCTGTGCTATTCCGCTGCCGCAGCCAGCGGTCAGGTTTGGACAGGTTCGGTCTGCCCCTCAGGCAGCCTAAACTGTTCTGCATTTTCAGCGTACATGGCAGTAGTGGAATGCAGGGCTCAAACAGCTCCCGTCCGTGTGAGCTACTTTTGCCGTGCCGGCGGCCGAGCTGCTGGCCAGACGGACAGGAATGCCAGAGGAGTTCAGTAGATGGCCGTACGTAAACTAGCCCGCTCCAGTCGTCTTGCGCAGCGGAATGTGTGATGTAAACAGGGCGCCGTTGGCCAGCGCTCCGTGGTCGCCTGCTGCTGCCCGGCTCGCGCGCGTGGGCAGCGGTGCAGCGAGGCTGACGGGGCTTATCAGTGGCAACTGCAGTGACAGCAACAGTGATGCGGACAGCCGATAATCGGAGTTAGATGGAGCGGCCCAACTGAGACAATGGACTGTTGTCCTCTGGCAGATCGCATGGGAGAGGAAAGTCATTGTGGAGCGCGTCAGATGAGGGGCCGCCGTATGGCATACACTTGCCGACACACGCATCACTGGCATTAGCGGTGTTAGCTGTCGGTACGGCCTGAGCCGCAAGCATTGTAATCGTCATCCCATTCCTGTGCGTGCGGCTGTCTGCGCCGCGCGGTTAGGCCGGCGTCCCAACGCTCGGCTCTCACGTCGTCAGCCGGTCACCGCTCTGGCCGTGACCGGCCGGCCGGCCGGCGGGCGGTCTGCCCGGACTCCATGTGGCCCAGATCGCGGCATGTGTGATCGGTCTGCCCGGACTCCAGGTGGCCCAGATCGTCGTGGCCATGTGTGATCGGTCTGCCCGGACTCCAGGTGGCCCAGATCGCGGCATGTGTGATCGGTCTGCCCGGACTCCAGGTGGCCCAGATCGCGGCATGTGTGATCGGTCTGCCCGGACTCCAGGTGGCCCAGATCGCGGCATGTGTGATCGGTCTGCCCGGACTCCAGGTGGCCCAGATCGCGGCATGTGCGATCGGTCTGCCCGGACTCCAGGTGGCCCAGATCGCGGCATGTGCGATCGGTCTGCCCGGACTCCAGGTGGCCCAGATCGCGGCATGTGTGATCGGTCTGCCCGGACTCCAGGTGGCCCAGATCGCGGCATGTGTGATCGGTCTGCCCGGACTCCAGGTGGCCCAGATCGCGGCATGTGCGATCGGGTGTATTTTGGCTGTCAACCGGGCCGGGCTGCGAGGCCGGCCCACTCTGGCCGCCGGTTCGGCTGCACTATATCTGCCAGCCACGCCTCGGCTGGCCGAGCGCCAACTCAGTCAGCAGTGCTTGCTCGTGCAATCGGCCGCTGGAACCGATTGGAAGTGTCCAGTGGCCACATGGGCCGCCCGGTTTTGGACACGTGAATCTTACATGGTCGGCATGAGCCGCACCGTCCGGTTGTGGACGTGTGGATCTTGCATGATCCACATGGGCTCGTGAATGATCTTGCATGGGCTCGGCCAATAGATCACGGTGCCCATTGTGTTAGGCCTTGTTTGCCCTACCCCAGCATTTATAAGCATTCCGTCCGTACAAACCGTGTCTGCATGCAGGAGCTGAGCGTATCAGCACATGTCCGTGGGGTTGCTCCTGGGAGGAGTTCTGTTTGAGGTTCATTAGTTCCATTCAAAGCAGCTATTCCTTGCCTGTTTGAATCGGTCGTGGACAACATACATGTCTAAGCGCATGCGGTACGGAAAGCGCTTAGCTAGCCCGTGTCTAAGCGCATAAGCGCGTACGGAAAGCGCGTGTGGTAGAAACACAGCCTGAGAGTTGAACTAGTGTCGTCCGACAATGGAGCTTGACGCCCGTAGTTTCATCGGTAAGATGGCGTGAGTACCACCACTATCTACACCGCTATCGGTTGGTTCAGGCTACCTAACCAAGTGACGACAGACTTGTGTACGTGGAGACTTCCTGTTGCTTTGAAGGCCCTATGTATTATTCGGGGATCACTCCGTTGCGTGTCGTTGCAGACATCGAAGCGTGGCGCAGATTAGTGCTGATAAACTCTGGAATTCGCATGTTGGCAGGATTACTGACTGCAGGCAGTAATTGCGGTCTGCGATTTGTTCAGTGCAAACGCTAGTAATATGTGACGATTCCTCTGCGTTTCGATTTTGTTGTATTCAAGTATTGCCACTATTTTCGCGAACAGAGCCTTGCTGAAATAAATAGCGTATCTATTAATCACACTTAGGAATTGGCTTCGTTTTACTTTTTGCGTTTTGGAGTGTCTCCTGTTCGGAAAGCACGATGAATGGGTTTTACACTGTTGTACGCGCTAACTTGGTATTCTGAATTGCTGGGTGCAAAGCGTTGGACACCCATTTCCGACCTCCCACTTAAAATATGGCAGGAGCGCTCGCCACTCCTGACGCTGGAGAGCTCGCCACCCCTGACGCTGGAGGTTACATGGCGTCTGATTGCGTGCTGTAGGCAACGTCACGACGACAATGCATTACCTGAAGGGGTGTGAAACCTGTTTATTGTGGCTCACGCCGCTAAACACACGAAGCTGATGCGACGGGCTGCCTGTCAGCTGCACAGCGCCCGGCGCACAGCTCCGGGGCTGAGTGTACCGCTGTCTACAGGCGCCGCCACCGTCGCCGCCGGCCCGGCCGCGACCCAGCTCCACAGAGAAGATCGAGGAGTGTACCCTGTGGGTGGCCTTCATCACCTACCTGGCCTACTTCATCCTGGTGACGGTCGGCTACGTCAAGGAGTTCTTCTTCCCCGTGCACCAGAAGGAGAAGGACAGGCAGGTGGGCACGGCCGCCGGCTGCTCTGCGGCGGGCCGAGAAGACGCCGGCTGCGCCACGGCGTGATCAGGGTTGCGGTTCTGGCTGGCCTGGCAGTGTGATCCGGACACGGCGATTGTTCACCGGTCGACCCGGGCAGACGGAATACATTAGGCTGTTGTTAGCGCCGCGTATCGCGGTTTGTCGTATCACGTAATGCGAAAGCTGAGCGATAGTGATCAAGGTTGCATCTGAATGCGTGAGTGACAGGGGCTGAGCCATTACGTCCCATTACGACCAGTGCTCACAAGCGAGACTACCTCAGAAATGGCACGCATGTTGTTAAGTCTTGTCCTTCACGATTCTTGTCGCTACGTATGTTTAGTGCACTTGCACTACCACTTCGTGTTGATCTGCCAGTGATATGCATCGCAAGGCCCCACCAAGAGCTTGTGCATTCTAAAAGGATATCTTCTATCGTTCTCCATCATCCCTTGGCCATACAGCCCCAATTTCCATCACGTACTGCTCTCCATAATCCATTTCAAAACACCTGTGAGCTTTGTGCCCATTGAACACGACGCAGGTGGCTCTGCCCCGCCAGCCTCCCACGTGCCCTCGTCACCGTTCTGTGAAGCCTGTGGCCGTCCGCGCCGCCGTCCCCGCGCTGTGTGCGTCACGTGCGCGTGCCGTGCGATGCGTCACTCGCACCCGGTGGAGTTAGCGACCCGCTGCTCCGGCGCAGGGCTACACGCCGCTGTACTCGAGCTTCGAGAGCTTCTACATCCGCAACGTGTACCGGCGCATGTCCGACTGCTTCAACAACCCGCTGGCCAGCTGTCCGGGCGGCGAGATTGACATCCAGGTCCGCGAGACGCTCGACTACGGCTTCAGTTACAGGTGGGCGCTGTGGGCGGGCGGCGCGCCCCGGCGGTCGCTGCGCTGCTCGGGCGGGGCCGCACTCCTCTGGCAGCGCCGTGTTCGCGCCGGTGGAACGTCAAGTCTTGCCTTGCCGTCGTAGGCTCACGTGTTTGGGCTTGAGCTCCGTGTGTGTGTTTCTGCCCACCGTCATTGCATGAGCTGCCTCACTTCTGGTCGAGAAGTAGCACATGCTGTGCTTTCATCGTCATGCCGCGTGTGTTTGAAGTTTGTCGGTCCGCACGCCGTCGTTGGCCCAGTAAGACTTGACTCGTTGAGCGGCCGGCACAGGACGACGCTGTCGGACCGGGCTGGGGTCGGCTGCTGACCGTGCGCCGCACGCCGGCCCGCCCGCTCGTCTGCGGGACGCGGCGCGCCATGCTCGGCTGACCTCGGTCGTTATCACGCCGCTCCGGCGCGACACGGCGCTTAGCCGTCGCGGTCGTCATTGATGAGACATGGCGTGTCGGCTCGCGTGGTCGCGCGCTGTACCGGACCCGTCCCCGGCTGGGATCCGTGGCCCGACGGTGCGGTCCGGCTGCCCCACCGCCCACCGTGGAGGCGGGCACAGCGCGCCGCCGGCTCACCACGCCGCCCTCCCGGCACGGAATGCCGCCCGAATTCTGAGCACGTATGCGAGACGCGGTGCACGCGGATAGATCCGCAGCACCACGTCGACGCAGTGGCCGACCTTCACACGCGTGCAGACTCGCAGCTGGAGCAGGCTGCTGGCGGCGCTCGGCTCGGCCGTGGCCTGGCTGGAGCCGCCCGCCGCGTGCGGAGCGGTCGCCGGCGCTGGGAGGGAGGGGCAGCCGCCGACCGGACGCTCGGTGCAGCTGCACCGGCCAGACGGGCGCGCCGCGGCCGCCGGCGGACATACACACACACAGATAAGGCGACGACTACGGCCGCTAATCGCGCGGCGCGGCGACGTCACGTGACCGGCGGGCCGACGATCGCGGCGCCGTCTCGTCCCGGGCGTCGCCTCCTCGCTCGTCTGGGAGGAACGGCGGGTGGGCGCTGTGTGGCGGTGCATTCGCGGGGCCCGCAGGTGGAGAGTCGGGCCCAGCGGCGTAACGCTCACCAGCCACGTTGCATGGAGATTATGGCCGAGAGTCTGTCTCGGTCTGTCTGCGACGGCGGGCCGCCGCGCAGCAGCGGATCCCGCGCCCACGCTTACCGCACAACTGGACTCGGCGTCATGCCTTTTGAATGTCCCATGCTTGTCCGTGCCGATATCTGGACCGGTTAGAGCGCCTACATTCCGGTCCACTCACCCGTGGCTGGGTGGGAGCTGGACGCTTCAGCGCTCGCTCTTGCCGCTGTCTGGGCGGGCTTGGGGTCGGTGGCAGCGACTGTTGAAAAAGTCGGGTGACGTCATCGGGCAGAACGGAGCGTGCCAAGCATTGCGACAGTCAAGTTTTCGCCGCCAAATTTTGCAATTGAGCCATAATTTTTTGGTCAGATGGTGTCCCAGGACTGTGGCAAGAAACACTGGCCAACGTGGGCGGCGATTCCAGAAGCTCGTCCAATCCAGGGGTCCGTAGCAAATTATTTAAAAAAGCGCACATTTGACTATCACAATACAGCCATTCCAGTTCAGTGAATGTCACAGGCCGATCTGCGTCAACATGGCACACTGGCGAAACGCGCCCCTCCCCCCTCCGCTTTGGGCGATTTCCTCGACCTTTGACAGGAGCTAATGCACCGTCAGAGCCGAGCCTCATAGCATGGTGTCGGCGGCACGAACCAGACGCTCCCTCGGCGTTGTCAAAGTGGCTGGTTGTCGTTATCGGTGGCCCACGTTGTCGGCGTCAACTTTGTGGATGATCTCGTTCGTGCTTGGTGCAACGTCACACGCATTTGGCCGTAGCAGGTATTACTTGAGGATGCTTCGCACCAGGTAGCCATAGATCAGCTGACAGCCGTGTGAATGCAATCGTATCGAAGCGAGCATCGCCCTGGGCTGGCCCCGCGAGGCCTTATATAAGCCGTGTGGCCGACGAAGCTGTGATAGGCGACAACAGCTCAAATCTACCTTCAGACACCGCACAAAGGCTATATTTTTACACCTTTGTGGTCGTCGCCGCTTTGAGTGTCAGCCAGTGCCGGTTTGTTTTGAAACTCGTAAGTAAGTCGCAAGGGCCCGAAAATAATGATGGAAACAATGCGATGTGCATTCAACCGCCCGCGCTCGTGTTTGTGTGTAACAGCGTATGCCGCGTATGTCTGTGGAAATATAGCCGTTTGTGTGAGACCCACCTTCGCGCCATTAGTCCGCGGCTGTCAGGGGCACCGGGCGCTGCGGCCAGGGTCGGGGCGGCACCACCTGGTATCGCCTGCCGCCAGGTCGATGCACTGTCGACCCGTGTCCTGTCTCGCGCGTGCTGCGTGCCATGGCCCGCCTGCGGCCAGCGCGGCTCGCGGGCCGCCCGTCCCGCGTTCATACGGCCTCGAGCTGGGCTCCGAACGGCTGGTGCCACCCCCGCGTGCCGTGCGTCTCAGCCACGGCACGGTCTCAGTGACCGGCCTTGTGTGGATCCCTGTGCCGTGACCGTTGTCCGGACTCCTGCACCCCCAGTGGCACGCGCCACCGCCACATGCTCGCAGCGTGTTGCATAATGTCCCACGCCCGGTGTTTCGCGCAGGGTGTGCCGTAATCCGAGTGAGCCATGCGATGTGCTTAGTCCCGCGCGATGAGTCCCCTGCGCCCCGAGTCCCGCGCGATGAGTCACCTGCGCCCCGAGCCTGCGCGATGAGTTCCCTGCGCCCCGAGCCCGCACGATGAGTCCCCTGCGCCCCGAATCCCGCGCGATGGGTCCCCTGCGCCCCGAATCCCGCGCGATGAGTCCCCTGCGCTCCGAGTCCGATAAGTCCCCTGCGCCCCGAATTCCGCGCGATGGGTCCCCTACGCCCCGAAAAAAAGCCCCGCGGCATGCCGCGCCGTGCGCGGCATCAGTCGCAGGCGACCGGACGCCGCGCAGGTCAATCGATGCGCTGCGCGTGGACCTTACGTCACGCTGTGACGACAACCGGCTATTGCAGCCGGCCTGGAGCGGCGAGGCAGAGGCGGTGGCGGGAGCCAGGGGAGGGGGAGGGACAGCCGGCCTGGAGCGGTGAGGCAGAGGCGGTGGCGGGAGCCAGGGGAGGGGGAGGGACAGCCGGCCTGGAGCGGCGAGGCAGAGGCGGTGGCGGGAGCCAGGGGGAGGGGGAGGGACAGCCGGCCTGGAGCGGCGAGGCAGAGGCGGTGGCGGGAGCCAGGGGGAGGGGGAGGGACAGCCGGCCTGGAGCGGCGAGGCAGAGGCGGTGGCGGGAGCCGGGGGGAGGGGGAGGGACAGCCGGCCTGGAGCGGTGAGGCAGAGGCGGTGGCGGGAGCCAGGGGGGGGGGGGAGGGACAGCCGGCCTGGAGCGGCGAGGCAGAGGCGGTGGCGGGAGCCAGGGGGAGGGGAGGGGTAGCATGCGGTCACTGACACCCAATCCACTCGGCGCCGCTCACGTGCCGCGGGTCGGATGGGCAACGGGCCGGGCTCAGTCTGCAACACAGCCCCCCTCACCCTCCCCCTGCCGACGCGCCGTGTGTATTTGTACGTGCCGGGCTGTAGACGAGGCCACTCGGTGGGGCGGGCGGACCCGGGCGGACGCACGCCACTAGGTCACGCGCGCGCGGGGTCCGGCCAGCCGGCGGATCAGGGCTGGGCCAGCGTCGCCCGGGGAGGTCCCGAGGAGGTCCCGGGGTTTCCCTGTGCGGCGGCGCCGGCGCTAGCGCCGCCGTGGTGGTTTTGGCGTTCGGAACGAGGATGGGACCGTGCGAGGCGTATAATAGTCGAGTGGTGCACGGCTGTGGCTGCGCTGGATGGGGTTGAGGACAGATAGACAAATCGTGGGTCAGTCGCTGGCTCTGGCTGGAACTTTCGAAAAGTTATGTGTCCATTGATTGGGCGATGCTGGTGGTGCATGTAGTTATTTAAACGGTCTGGAACGGCGTTCGAAGCATACGTTGCGAAATTGCTGGAAATAACTTCACCATGATGATGTCAAGCTCCACGTGCGCGTTCCATTGCTCTGGGACTGATCACGAGTTGCTGGTATGGGGACCGGTTTCGTAGAACTGATAACCGCTCAACGAGCATTCGGTTCGAACCGCGTCCTTGACGACACGGTCGTCACGTTTTGACGTCACGTCTGTGGGGACGCCGTTGCTAGGAAATGGCGTCACACGGCCTCGGGTGGCGTGAGGTGTGCTATCGACAAATGGAAGGGGGAGGGGGCGGGGCTGCTTGAAACAACTGACTCATCGTCACATACTCGCGTCGCGAATGAGACTTTCGAGATGGAACGGATATCGCTGACGTCATACATAGTGCTGCTGTCGTCGGTAAGAGAGCCATCCAACCCGTGAGAGTGGCAGCCATTGGCGGCCCGTGAGAGTGGCAGCCATCGGCGGCCCGTGAGAGTGGCAACCATCGGCGGCCCGTGAGAGTGGCAGCCATCGGCGGCCCGTGAGAGTGGCAGCCATCAGCGGCCCGTGAGAGTGGCAGCCATCGGCAGCCCGTGGGAGTGGCAACCATCGGCGGCCCGTGAGAGTGGCAGCCATCGGCGGCCCGTGAGAGTGGCAGCCATCGGCGGCCCGTGAGAGTGACAGCCATCGGCAGCCCGTGAGAGTGGCAGCCATCGGCGGCCCGTGAGGGTGGCAGCCATCGGCGGCCCGCGAGGGTGGCAGCCACCGGGGTGATACTGCGGACCACGTCACCGTCTGCAGTCGGGCTTCAAGCCTCGTCACGAATTGTCTCGCCGATGGGCGGTGGGGCTGCGAAATCCCATCTGCGTCTCTCTGCGGCTCATGCGGCCGGCCTTCCCGGGCGGCCGCAGGGGCGGGGAGGCTGGACGCCGGTGCCGGCCGGAGCCGCACGTGGTTAGCGTCGCGCCTTCTCGTCCGGGGCTGACTCAGCACGCCGGCCCCCGCCCGGCACGACGCAGCGAGGTCCGGCCGGGTCCGCCGCCGGACGCCCCGGCCGCAGACCGGAGCCGCTCGGGTGGCGCGGTCGCCCGCGGGCTGCGGCGATTCGCCGGGCCCCGGAGCATGGAGCGGGGTTTGGGTCGCGCGATTTACACTTAAACACGCATTGATGCTGCACTTGAAGGTGTTCAAATTTGCTAAAATTAGACTTAGATATATATGTCATGGTTATATTTTGTGACAATGTATATATATATATATATATATATATATATATATATATATATATATATATATACATATATATATATATATATATATATATATATATATATTCATGTGTGTGTGTGTGGGTGCGTGCGTGCGTGTGTGTGCGCGTGTGTGCGTGCGTGCGTGCGTGCGTGCGTGCGTGGGGGGCGTGTGTGTGCGTGTGCGTGTGCGTGTGCGTGTGCGTGTGCGTGTGCGTGTGCGTGTGTTGTGTGTGTGTGTGTGTGTGTGGTGTGTGTGTGTGTGTGTGTGTGTGTGTTGTGTGTGTGTGTGTGTGTGTGTGTGTGTGTGTGTGTGTGTGTGTGTGTGTGTGTGTGTGTGTGTGTGTGTGTGTGTGTGTGTGTGTGTGTGTGTGTGTGTGTGTGTGTGTGTGTGTGTGTGTGTGTGTGTGTGTGTGTGTGTGTGTGTGTGTGTGTGTGTGTGTGTGTGTGTGTGTGTGTGTGTGTGTGTGTGTGTGTGTGTGTGTGTGTGTGTGTGTGTGTGTGTGTGTGTGTGTGTGTGTGTGTGTGTGTGTGTGTGTGTGTGTGTGTGTGTGTGTGTGTGTGTGTGTGTGTGTGTGTGTGTGCGTGTGTGTGTGTTTGTGTGTGTGCATATTTGTATATGTACGTGTACACATGTATTCATATTACTCTACGTTTGTAATTCTTTTTATTTGATCCATTTGTTGATTTAACCTGTTATACTTATATTTTGAGCACTAAGTGATAGTCGTATATCCTGCTGCCTGGCATTAGACCGGCCAAAGATATAACATCCCTTCCTCTCCACCTCCCCCCCCCCCAAAAAAAAACATAACGATGCCATTCATTGGGTTTCGATCCACACTCCAGAGTTATCCACGCACGTACAATCCATTGCTGAGCCTGAATACCTCCACATACTTACCGTTGAGCAAGTCATGATATGTCCGACGCTCTTGAGGCCCCAAGATACCTCAAGCACTGGCACTTGGCAGCAATGGCAGCAAGAACAAAATATGTTCAACGATTGTTCGCTCGCTGATGATGGATTTCCAATCGTACAAATCCGTACGATTAGTATGGATTTGCTGACAAAATTAAGGTGTGTTGCATGTGTAGTGTGCAGGCTCCTTTGCTGCGTCTCAGACCAAAACATCCGCGGTGAGGTGTTTCGAGAACGAGTTTTCCAAGGTCTCAAACCAGCAAAAGCACGCGAGACGCCGGCCTTGCCAGGAGCTCAGCGCCGTCCGCCGTCGTGTTTACGGCGCGATGTTCAGGAGGTGCCGGAGCGCCACGGGTGACGTCACGCGCCGGCGCCCCGTGCACCGCCGCCGCCGACGCCGCCCGCCGTCGGGTCGGTCCGAAGCGTGACGAGCGCGCGCTCCGTTTGCGTGGAGCACGCGGTGCAATATGGACTGGTGGGGGCTGCATGCGTTTGTCGCTCGAGCGCAAAGGGTTCGTGGCGTGAGTGTGGGTACTCACTACGGTCTTGCGCAAAGCCATAGTGTAAGTGCATACATATCCGCGCCGCACAGGTCTTTTACGAGGTGTTCCATCATCTTAGGTCACCCACTTGTGTGCCGCTCACCGTGTGTATGTCTGGAAGCCGTGGGTATGGCTGCGGCGGGAGCTCGGGATTTCCGCCGGCTCCAGCTGCGACGTAGCCACTAAAGCCCTGTTTTCTGTGTGCTGGCTTTCTCCCGTCCTAGCCCCAGCTCGGTCGCATCGCCCACGGACGCCACGCAGCTCGCGCGGGACGATTTTTGCTGCGAAAAGTCGCGTGCCCCGAACGAGAGGGGCTATGTCGTGTCACTGCCGCGCCTGCCGGCTGCGGCGCTTCGGACGCTTCCTCTGACCCGCCGCCGGCCGCCCTCAGACGCACGGGCGCCCTCAACCGGTGCACCAACTTCGGCTCCTACAACTACCTGGGCTTCGCCGAGAAGAGCGGACCCTGGACCGACTCGGCCGAGCGGCTGCTGCGCCAGAATGGCGTCTCTTCGTGCGCCACGCGGCTCCAGCTGGGTATGTAATCTTTGGTGTAGTGTATAGCTCCTGGCGCGGTGTGTAGTTACCGATGCGGCGTATAGTCCCGACGTGGTATATAGTCCCCGGCGCGATGTGAGTCCCCTGCGCGATATGTAGTTCTTGGCTCGGTATGTAGTCCCCGGTGCGGCGTGAGTCCCCAGCGCGATATGTAGTTCTTGGCTCGGTATGTAGTCCCCGGTGCGGTGTGAGTCCCCATCGCGATATGTAGTTCTTGGCTCGGTTTGTAGTCCCCGGCGCGGTGTAAGTCCCCTGGGCGATATGTAGTTCTTGGCTCGGTATGTAGTCCCCGGTACGGTGTGAGTCCCCAGCGCGATATGTAGCTCTTGGCTCGGTATGTAGTCCCCGGTGCGGTGTGAGTCCCTTGCGCGATATGTAGTTCTTGGCTCGGTATGTAGTCCCCGGCGCGGTGTGAGTCCCCTACGCGATATGTAGTTCTTGGCTCGGTATGTAGTCCCCGGTGCGGTGTGAGTCCCCTGCGCGATATGTAGTTCTTGGCTCGGTATGTAGTCCCCGACGCGGTGTGAGTCCCCTGCGCGATATGTAGTTCTTGGCTCGGTATGTAGTCCTCGGCGCGGTGTGAGTCCCCTACGCGACATGTAGTTCTTGGCTCGGTATGTAGTCCCCGGTGCGGTATGCAGCCCGCCCCCCCCCCCCCCCCCCCGACTCGGCGCTTATTGTCGTCATCGTTTGTGTAGCTTGCGGTCCGTTATGTACTCCCCCAATCGACAATGTGCGTCAGCATTGGTCTACGTGTTCGTTACAGGCTGGTTGTTTACCGACATCGTTTAAACGTTATGCAAGGACGTCTTCATTAACTGCAGCTTGACATGCATTGGACTTGATTTGGGCGAGGTTAATGGTGGCATTGCAGGCGACTGTAGTGACTGTGTTGTGACCCGCAACATGATATGCATTGGACGGGCGGACCTGGCTTTCCACTTAATGGTTTTTTTGTGTTGCGACTTCGACAATATGCAAGTCGCTGCAGTTCGAGCGTGAGAACAAGCTTACGTGGTGGGCTGTGGCCGCGAACAGCCGGCATTGGGGAGTGGAGATTCCAAAGGTTGAAAATGTACGAATGGTAAAGGCGGACTGGACCTGATGTGTGCGTACATCACTGAATCGGAATGTAGAAAACATTAGGGGTGTCGACATTGGCACCAATGTAGCATTTCGTTTATCGTAAATGTGAGTGGGGAGCATACCTCAAAGCCTGGATGGGGCCAGTTTCCGCGGTGATGAGACGCATTGATACAGAAGCACCGCCGATTCCTGTGTCTCGTGTGACCCCCGTACTGTTCTCTTCGATTGAGAGCAGTGTCAGGATAGCCCAGAGCCCCGTCGTGACCCATATCGTCGCCTCCCTCGGACAGGCAGTCAGCAGTGCCAGCACGACCTAGAGTCGCTGGTGGCCGAGTTTCTTGGCGTAGAGGAGGCCGTGACGTTCGCCATGGGCTTCGCCACGAACGCGCTCAACATCCCGACGCTGGTGGGGCGCGGCTGCCTGGTGCTGAGTGACCAGCTGAACCACGCCTCGCTCATCCTGGGCCTGCGCCTCTCCGGCGCCACCATCAACGTCTTCAAGCACAACGGTACGGCGGCGCGCAGCCGTCACGGCAGACGGTGACCGTGACTGTGAAGTGATCCGAAGCTGCATTAGTTTCAAGTCTAAATCGCTGGGCCTTACAGTCACTGTGTTAATGGATGATTTGCGTGCGCAAGCATCCCGACCGTTTGACCACGCCGCCCGCGCTGTGCCGATGGCGTGGCTGGCACCGCCTGCGGCGGGGCGTCACCGGGGACTGCTGACCCGCTTGGTACGCCGCCCTCATGGGTGGCCTTGAGACGCGCCGACTGCCGGCGCACTCCCGCCGGACGTGCCCCGTTGACGTGCGATGTCACGTCGTAGACGTGCACGACCTGGAGCGGAAGCTACGGCGTGCAATCGTGGAAGGTCATCCGCGCACGCACCGGCCGTGGAAGAAGATACTGATCGTGGTCGAGGGTATCTACAGCATGGAGGGCTCCATCTGCCGCCTGCCCGAAATAATCGAACTCAAGAAGAAGTATAAGGTGAGGCGCTGTTCGGTACCTCTGTGAGGGAGTGCTGCGGTGAGGCACTAGCCAGTACCTCTGTCTGAGGAAAACCCTGTCGCATCGGCGATAAGGAGGAGACTGGTGGATAAGATTGAAACTCGCGTGCAGCCTCTATGCCTATCGCTGGAAATTTGTGGGACTTCCCCATGTCAATTAGGCCATGGATGACGTTATCGCCCGAGGGTCGTGTTTGTGCCGCGCAAGACATCGTTTGTGCTCACAATGCCCGGATTCAGCTGTGCCTCCGCGAATGTTCTGAGCCTCGACAGTGGCGACGACACCCGCCCGGCCGGCCTCGGCTGGGCGGCCCCAGCTCCGATGGGCTTGCCCGCCTCGGACGTCCGTCCTCATGAGAGGGCAGAGTCGTGCGGCATGCCCACCGGATACGTCAGCTACCCTCGGAGGGCGGGGGCGCCGCAGCGATCGGTGTGCGCGCCCTATCAGATAGGGCCGTGTTTGTCGGCGGGTTCAGCCCAGCGCGACCCAGTTGCTGGGTGTGATCTGGGCGCCGGCGCGCCGCCGCTCACGACTCGTGACTCTCGTGCGAGGCTGTCCGTGACTGGCTCATGTTGTCGCGTCGGCGGCTGGTCCACAGCCGGGACTCATCTGCGTCTCAGCGGGGCTAATGATAGCGGGCGGCGCGCCCTGAAACTCCAGTCAACAACAATGGTACCGGGCTCGTGCATGATGGCTTACGGCGATCGTTGGCGGCGGATTTAGATGAAATACGTACGTCATAAAGCTGTTTATAGGTCCTGTGTCGTCGCTGACTGACTTGCCATTCAGAAGAAGAAAATACCTTCGAAACTGAGGATTAACGACTGCGGTTGCGGCGCCGACTGATCGCCCTGTGGCTAGATAACTTAAGGGATGGTCGGGACGGGTTTTCCAAAAATGTGTGGTCCAAAATAGCACATCCATCCCGCCGCTGTGCCTCTTGGTGGTTGTCTGGCGCGACAATACGGGTCTCGCGTAAACGTTCGTACTTGTGGCTGCTGCCCGAGTCATTCCCCGTGTCCAGAATCACCTTCGCTGGTGTCCACGCCGACCTTGGCCGCCTCGCGCACCTGCATTCCCACACCTTTGCCATTATTCAGGCGCGGCACCTGTGGCTGTACCCAGTGTGCCCTGACCTGACATAGCCAAGCGTACCTGCGTCTGTACCGCTGTGTGCGACCCTAGTCTGGTCTCGCCCTAGGTGCACGTGTGCCTCCGCGTGCCCTCCTCAGCAGCGTACGACCCTGACGCCGCCAGCCTTGCTCGTGCCTCGTTACGCTCCCCTGACCTGACCCGCGCCGGCCAGGCGTACCTGTACCTGGACGAGGCGCACAGCATCGGAGCGCTGGGGCGCTCGGGCCGTGGCGTCACCGAGTACTGGGGCTGTGACGCGCGCGACGTCGACGTCCTCATGGGCACCTTCACCAAGAGCTTCGGCGCCGTCGGCGGCTACATGGCCGGCAGCAAGGTGGGTGTGATGGCCGATAGTTGGTACGTCGTTAATGACGTCAGAAGGTGGAGAGGTGGGTGTGGTGGCCGATGGTTGGTACGTCATCAATGGCGTCAGAAGACAGAAAGGTGGGTGTGATGGCCGATGGTTGGTACGTTGTTAATGACGTCAGAAGGTGGAGAGGTCGGTGTGGTGGCCGATGGTTGGTACGTCATCAGTGACGTCAGAAGACGCTTTTGTCGCGCCTGGACGAATTGCTGATTACGCTCTCGCCGCGCCCTCTCGATGAAGTCGGCAAGCAAATGACGGCGCTCTTTGTGCCGTTGTTAACCGCTGTTGTACATACAACTGGCGGCTGTTTCAGCCGTCGAGTGTGCTGAGTAGCGCATTCCGACGGTTATTAGTGTGTGTGTGTGTGTGCATGCGATGTGGGCGCCTCTTGACGAGGCCCTGTTGGTTAGCGCGCCGCGAGCTCTGCCGTGACGTGACGCTGCGTCACGTGCTCCCGACGGTGACGTGTCCGTCTGCGTCACACTGCGTCAACTCTGACCTCCTCCCGCCTCCCTCCCGGTAGCGGCTGATCGCACACGTGCGCCGGCACAGCCACAGCATGCACTACGCGGCGACGCTACCGCCGCCGGTGGCCGGCCAGATATCGGCTGTGGTGCGCGAGCTGATGGGTCGCGGCGGCGGCACCGGCCTCGGCCTGGCGCGCATCCGGCGCCTGGCCGACAACACGCGCTACTTCCGCAAGCGGCTTAGTCAGATGGGCTTCATCCTGTACGGCAGTGACGACTCGCCGGTGGTGCCGCTGCTAATCTTCCTGCCGGCCAAGGCGGCGTGAGTGTGCTGGACGGCGGACCCCCCCCCCCCCCCCCCCCGGTGGCCCTGCTCGGGGGCGGATGCCGGCCGTAGGGCCTCTGGGGTTGCGGGTCGGCACCTGAGGAGGCGCCGCTCTCAGAACACGAAACACGGCATCGCATTGTTCGCGCTCGCTTTAATGACCTCCCTTGGCCAGACGACTGGACTGCTCGCCTGACGTCGAGAAGGCGCTCGTTCCCGCAGCGTTGTTTTGCTCTGAGCTTCTCAGGTGCCCGCACGCTCCCTTAACGGGGGAGTGCGGGTGGAGGAAGCGGGCGGGACGCCTGGCGCGGCTCCCGCGCTTCCCTGACGCGCGGGCGGTGGCGGACTGTCCCCTAACTGGGCGATCACGTGAGGCGCGGCTCCCACACCGTGAGGCCAGGGGTGCGCCGGCAGCTCCCGCCCCTGGCGCCAGCTCAGCCGGCAGCTTCCGCTCCCGGCGCCAGCTCAGCCGGCAGCTCCCGCTCCCGGCGCCGGCTCAGTCGGCAGCTCCCGCTCCCGGCGCCAGCTCAGCCGGCAGCTCCCGCTCCCGGCGCCGGCTCAGTCGGTAGCTCCCGCTCCCGGCGCCGGCCCGGCTCAGTCGGCAGCTCCCGCTTCCGGCGCCGGCCCGGCTCAGTGGGCAGCTCCCGCTCTCGGCGCCGGCCCAGTCGGCAGCTCCCGCTCCCGGCGCCAGCTCAGCCGGCAGCTCTCGCTCCCGGCGCCGGCTCAGTCGGTAGCTCCCGCTCCCGGTGCCGGCTCAGTCGGCAGCTCCCGCTCCCGGCGCCGGCCCGGCTCAGTCGGCAGCTCCCGCTCCCGGCGCCGGCCCAGTCGGCAGCTCTCGCTCCCGGCGCCAGCTCAGCCGGCAGCTCTCGCTCCCGGCGCCGGCTCAGTGGGCAGCTCCCGCTCCCGGCGCCGGCCCGGCCCAGTCGGCAGCTCTCGCTCCCGGCGCCGGCTCAGCCGGCAGCTCCCGCTCCCGGCGCCGGCTCAGCCGGCAGCTCCCGCTCCCGGCGCCGGCTCAGCCGACAGCTCTCGCTCCCGGCACCGGCTCAGTCGGCGGCTCCTGCTCCGGCGCCGGCTCAGTCGGCAGCTCCCGCTCCCGGCGCCGGCGCCGGCTCAGTCGGCAGCCCCCGCTCCCGGCGCCGGCTCAGCCGGCAGCTCCCGCAGCTCCGCGCCTGGCAGCGCTGCTCATGTGATGCGTCACTCGCGGCCGTCAGCACGTGACATGCATATCACGCGCGGTCTGTGGGCCGGCGTCAGGGGCGTGATGGGTCTGATTGATGTGGTCATGGCATGTCGGTGTTTGTACCTGGCCGCGCCACGACGCCCGAGCAACATGCGTTTGTCGTTTGTGGCGTTACAATGCCCATTGCAAATGATCGATGTTTGTACCTGACCGCGCCACAGCGCCCGGGCAACATGCGTTTGTCGTTTGTGGCGTTACAGTACCCATTGCAAGTGACCACGCCAGCCGTGCATCGTTTGCCTTTGCGTGCCGCGTACGCCACATACGTTCCTTGCCGTCCGCGTGTGTGGAGCGGAGCTAACGATGGAGCTGGACTTAGTGTCGGCTGTGCAGCGTTTTGTTCGTGTTCAGTCGGTTCGTGCTGAGTAACGTGTTGCTCACGTAAATCTGAGCCTATCGTTCATCGCACTCCCCGTTCGCAGCGTGTGCTCGTGATGGAGCGTGGCGGCTGTGCGTAGATGGTACCCGCTGTGTTGCGCCTGGCGTTTGGTGGCCGGCTGTCGTGTGCCGTCGTGGCTGTGACCTGACTTAGTGCGCGTGGACCGCAGGGCGTTCTCCCGCGAGCTGTTCAAGCACAACATCGCCACCGTGATCGTGGGCTTCCCGGCGACGCCGATCCTGACTGTGCGCTGTCGCTTCTGCATCTCGGCCGCCCACACCAAGGAGATGCTGGACAAGGTGCGGGCCGCGCGCCTCGCCACCGCCGCTGCCGGCGCCGGCGGACTTACGCGGCCGGCTGGAGAGCTTGCCATGTGGGACCACAGTGCCGATGTCATTTGGCTGGATGTGCGTCGGATGTTTTGTGGCGATGTTCGCCGGATCAGAGTCAGTGCGAAGCAGAGTTTTGCGAGGATCTTTATATATATATATATATATATATATATATATATATATATGTATAGATATATATATATATATATACATATACATATATATGTATATGTATATATATATATATGTATATATATATATATATATATATATATATATATATATCCGTGTCACGCCGCTTCGGCGCGCGGCCTCCGATGACAGCCTGGCCCTCTATTGGCCAGAAGGAACGAAAAGCGAGCTGTGTCTTTGGGTGCGAACGCAGTGCGCATGAAAGGAGGTGCATTCAATGTACGAGGTCGCCAGCTACCGCAATAGGCCTTACAGTGGCGTTTAGCGCCTGCTGCTCGTGGTCCGTAACTCAATTACCTCGGCGGCGAACTCAATTCACCACAAACGTCGTGCAGACTAGCGTACCGGCGTGGGGCATTCATTGGCTTTCAACGTGCCGTGACTGGACGCCACACGCGCGCCGCGGCCTATTTGTGGCGCTCCGTGCCGTTCGCCAGCTCGGGTCAGGTGCACGCTTCACGCCTCGCTTTGTCCCTGCTTGGCAGCGCCGCTGGCTGACGACCGATGGGCGTCGTCCCCCTCTGGCCGAGCGTGTTCACCAGCGGCGGCTGCTGACGGGGTCGTCTCTGTCCGGCAGATTCTGGAGCTGATCGACAAGGTCGGGGACGAGCTGGAGATCAAGTACTCGCGCCGGCCTCGCTCCAACGTCCACATCGAGTACGGCCGCTGCTAGCGGGCCCAGAGCGGAGCGGCCGCCGACCGTGCCGGTCGTTCGGAGCGGTGGGCGTCAGCTCGGCTTCGAGCCGGCTGCGCCGCTGGGTACCGCTCGGCTGCCCACCTATTGTGATACTGCGGGTAGGCGCAGCTGAGCTGAGGCGGCGGGAACGCCCCTTGCGCGCGGCTTTCTCCTGGCGCATTGTCGCCGCTGCCTTCGTCTGTCGCGTGTTTGGGCGGGTGGCGCCCCGGCCCGTTCTGTCGTCCGCCCTGCCCCGCCGCCGCCGCCGCCGCCCGTGCCGTGCCGGTCGTGTGCCGGTGCACCGATGCGGCCCTGCCCCCGCTGGACGGGCGGAAGCGGCGGGCCGGCCGCGCCTCTGCCTCGCCTCTCGCCGCGTGCGCCTCTGGGCTCCTCCAGCGGCCGTCGTCCGGCCTGGAGCGGCGGGCAGACTGGCCAGCCCGGCCTGGGCGTCCCAACATGCTGCCTTACCGTGCCTGAGCGCGGCACGGCCTCGGCCGACCGCGTCTGTCCAGCCGCTGCACAAAGGCTGCTTGCGATACCCGTCCGTGCCTCTGTGTGTGGGGGGGGGGGGGGGGGCAGGGGGGACACAAATCGGCCAACTGCCGCTGAGTATGGGGGAGGGGAGGGGGTGGCGGCTGTCGTGGTCTGGCCGTTCCAGAGTGCCTGTGCGGAAGTGTGCGCGTCGTGAGTCCGTTGCGCGGGCTGTCGGGCGGCGGAGAGGAGCGCGAGACGGTCGGTGGTGCCCGGATGTCCGAGGGGTCTTGCCCTGACACGCAGCCATGCCTCACCACTAGCTGCGTGACTTGGATTTTCATGTCTGCGCGTGCCTCTGAGAGCACCGAAGTATCCTCGGAAATTATGGAGCAGTTACGTAAACGAAGATTTTTTGCTGCTTTCATCACTTGCACTTTTGTTTGTCACATTGTCCACAAAGGTGTTTTTGTCAGTATCTGCTTGTGATGAAGTTTTACAGTGTTCCTGCGAGGTTGAACGTTAGTGCGGGTTAGATGCGTTGGAGAACATTTTCGGTATGGTTGCGATAAATGGCCAGTGCTATTGTGAAACTGTTCTTGACATGGTCGTGCCTATGCTGAAAACGTATGTAACTGTGAGTGATTTGTGGTGATTACTGTTCATATCAAGCACGTCACCTTGCCGGACTCGTTTCGTAGACCACCTACACGCGGGCTGATTAGATCCAGCCTTTTTGTTATGCTCCATTGATTTTGCCATCAGTGTGGCGGTGTGCGGAGATGATCGCTCGTGGCGCGTGTGTTGTCTTGGTTTGCCTGCCGCCGGCTGCGTTTGCGCGAGGTTTGGCCCTGCTCGGTGCCGTCAGTCACTGGGCTTAAGTGAAAACGTTTTTGCCGGAGTTAGACGTTTCGCAGACCGCGCCGTTTATTATTTTGCGCGCTTTTGTTGGACGCTCAACGCCCGTGCGGCACGACTTACAAGAAGACAGTCTCAGCGAGTTCCTCTGTGCGCGTCGCGCCGCGCGCCATTTAAGTCATGGTCGCGCCGGTCGGTAACACATTTTGCGGGGTGCCCGCCTTGTTTCAGTGTCGCGAAATGCGTGTTGTTTTATGTGCTTAACTTCTGCTGAATACAGCCGCCCGAGGGTGTGAAGGTTCGGCCCAGGCTCCAGATCAGCCGCTCGAGGTGTTAAGATTCGGCCCAGGCTCCAAATCAGCCGCTCGAGGTGTCCATGTTCGGCCCAGGCTCCAAAGCGGCCGCTCGAGGTGTCGGGGTTCGGCCCAGGCTCCAAATCAGCCGCTCGAGGTGTCAATGTTCGGCCCAGGCTCCAAAGCGGCCGCTCGAGGTGTCAAGGTTTGACCTTGGCTCCAAATCAGCCGCTCGAGGCGTCAAGGTTTGATCCTGGCTCCGAATCAGCCGCTCGAGGTGTCGAGGTTCGGCCCAGGCTCCAAATCAGCCGCTCGAGGTGTGAAGGTTCGGCCCAGGCCCCAAATCAGCCGCTCGAGGTGTCAAGGTTCGGCCTAGGCCCCAAATCAGCCGCTCAAGGCGTCAGGGTTCGGCCAAGGCCCCAAATCAGCCGCTCGAGATGTCAAGGTTCGGCCCAGGCTCCAGATCAGCCGCTCGAGATGTCAAGGTTCGGCCCAGGCTCCAAATCAGCCGCTCGAGGTGTCAAGGTTCGGCCCAGGCTCCAGATCAGCCGCTCGAGATGTTAAGATTCGGCACAGGCTCCAAATCAGCCGCTCGAGGTGTCAAGGTTTGACCCTGGCTCCAAATCAGCCGCTCGAGGTGTCGGGGTTCGGCCCAGGCTCCAAATCTAAAGTCGAGTCGAAATGCACCACCGAAGAATCACGCGGCAGACACGAAGCGGTCATAGCATTGCGAAGTGCCTCAGGCATGGTAGGTCTGCAGATCGAAATCTGTTATTTTGAGAACCGAATGCATCCATGTTGATTTAGCACGCCCGAGCATGGATACTCTCTTGGTGTCTTAAAGAACGGGACATTGTTAAGTGCAGAGGGAGGTGGGTGAGGGTAAACGTATCAGCGGGAGGCATTGTCAGCAGCTCTCGGACGAGCTTAGCATTAACTTTGTCTTATGCATGGAAGTAGTTCAGAAGATTCGACCGAAGCGCCATCTAGAACTTTCAAGCGGTTAGGTGGACCAGCCCGCATTGATGTGGAAGACAATGGTTTATTTCTGTGTGCTGCTCTCATGTTGCACCGATAGAGGACTGAATACTGTTCCCAATGTCATGTACCCGCCGTTCCAACTACCCGTGCCAATGATTCGTGGCAGTTGCTGCCGCCCATCCGGGCAGCAATTCGGATCCGTAGTTTGCTTGTTCCGTCCGGAGGGGACAGTAAGTACCTGCCACCAAATATTATCCGATTGTTTTGATTGTGCAATCTTCAGAGTCAACGGTATTTCTCTGCCTGCACCAGTATGCCTTCCCCGCACATTGGGTTTGGTCCGCCGTGCTCCAAATCCATGCGTCGCTCCCACGGTCACTGCATTGGAAAATCTGGTGCAACTATGGACGATCTGCCGATTTTGCTGCCCACCGATCTCTTGGTTCCTGAATCTGGTAGCCTTAAACTCCAGTTGTCTTGCATGCGTCACAAATGGAAACGACGGTCCTGTTTCTGTTTTTGGCTTCTGGGGATATGGATGTGCTTATGTCTCGCGTTACTTCTGCCATTTTGAGGGATTTTTATCAAGCGACATTGAAAGCGCACCTGCCGTGGGTCGGGTGGCAGGTGTACATGTATTGAGGTTTGTTGGCACTGCACGAATAGTGGTCATGTTTTAATTGGTTTCGTGGTAGTCAGTGCCCAGCCGACAGCAAATCATCCGCTGCGTTGGACGTCTTCGTGACATGGTGCGCCGAAAGTCGTGCTCGCGCGCGTTGAATTCCGGCCAGGCTTAACTGCTGAATTTTTGAACTTTTTAATGTTTGCCTTAAATCACACTCACAACTCAACAATCTCTTGAAACTTTTGCTATGCTCTGAAATTGATCACAATTGTGTGCTAAACCTGGGTTTACACTTTTGGCTTTTACTGTGTACATATACTGAACTTGTGACAGAATTGTTGCTGGTATGCCAGTCACAGTTGTTGTAATTTTACAATCTGTACTAGTACCAGTGAGGAATTGGTTGCATCATATCTTTGAAAAAATCAGCCCTTTCAGAGCATCACATTCTAGTTTGAGAAAACTGTGTACTAGTTTTAACTATGGTAATAAGGACATTTCAAATAGCAGGTATCATTGTGGATTGTCTCAAAGCTATTTTAACTTGTCAGGAATGTTGTCCCAATGTGTATATGTTGCATGAGTCCAGCACAACTTTTGCAATAGATGCTGATATGAAAAGAAAAGCAAAGGCTTAAATCAGCAATGTATGACATGTTTTGGAGCCATGGTACAGTGAAAACTGCATGATATATATATATATATATATATATATATATATATATATATATTATCCATGTAACTGTGGTAATGTTTGACTACTACCTGCCAAACTTATATGTCCATCTTCCACAGGCTGGGTAATGACCTGGCATCATGTTAAGGAAGCACAAAGACTCAACCATCACTGAGGGAGTGAGCGGAACATATGTCAAGCGGGAGGCACCTCCAGAACTTTCAAGTGAGAGAGTATTATAGAAAACTAAGATAGCTATATTTATGTGAGGATACTGTCCAAAGATGATATGATAATGTTAGAATACAAAAGTACTGTGAGAAATATTCAGAACCTCTCGACGATTTTCTCATAATCCATAAAACACATCTTGCATGATATGAATGCCATGGGATGTCTTATGACCATATGATGTTATATCTGTGCATGCTTGGTGTTGTGGTGTGTTGAAAGTTCTTAAGTGTCTGAAGCTAAAGAGCAAAGATTATAGAAGGCATTTCACCCCTACATTGAAACTTAGTCTGTGGAAAGAGTATTTCATCCAATCAACACCATTTTGTAATTTCCTGCTGTCTGCTTGCACCAGCTGACTTCAGGGATCACCCAATTGCTAACTGATTAACAGCATGGGTGGCCTCTAGTCTTATGAGACTCCCTCCCTCTCTCCAGTGTTTCCAGGCTTGCGCCAGGCTGTCATGCATCTTTTCAACACTTTTCTGGTGACATCTGGGTCATAGTCAGCAGTTTACTACTGTTGGATGGCAGTGGTCCATTCACAATTGAGATAGACCCCTCATTCAGATGCATCACATGGTCTAGACGTCAGTTCGTGTTTTCGGAGGTGTCGTCCCTCGGGTCGACCGACTGGCCGTTCTCTTGCCACACCACGCCAGCACAAGCTCGGCACAGACCCTCATGCCGACGATGGAGGTTACTGCCTGGGCTGTCAACCTTGGTTAGCCAGTAATCAGTCCCCCTTGCTCTGTGAACGTGGCCTCATGACGTCGGAGCCCACTGGAGCGGTGCTGCGTCTACCCTCTGACCCCAAAACACCGGCCGGTCCGTTTTCACGTTGGGATCGGTGCCGGCGTGCCCAGGACCTTCCAGCCACATGGAGATGTGGTGTCGACATTGGCGAACCTTTCTGAAGAAGGCAATCAGCCACCACCGGACCGCTGCTGGGAAGCTGTTTCACCGAGGGGCGCACGTCTTGAGCGTGCCCTTCGTCTCGCCGGGCTGCCCGGGGCCAGCGGGTGGTTTACCTCGGATTTCGCCCGGTCGGCGGGGGTTGCGCTGCACGGTCCAGCACAGTCTGTGTCTCAGCAAGCGTCCTTGGTCTCTGGACTAGTGCGCAGCTCGCAGAGGACAGCAGCGACCGAGACGGACGCTAGTCCTGCTGCAGTCTTCTATCCTGCAGACGTAGCTGGACTTTCGCTGTAACGCCAGCTGTCTAGTGCGGGTGTAGGTGCATGAACCGACAGCGCGAGCCAAGGCAGAGCTGCTTCCATTGTATTCGTCCTCGCTCCGGTTTCCCCGGAGCCGTCATTGTTGACCGACCTAACCGATGCAGCCCTTGCATGGCTCTTGATGAACGCGGTTCCACATGAGTATGCTTCCAGGGAACCAACGCGTAGGTTTGAGGCAGGTGGGCCCGTCTCGGGTTTTTATTTTCGCGAATTCTGAGACGTCCGACGTTTCTCGCAGATCGTTTCGATCGCTGTGAGCTCGACGGATGAGGAGGTGACCAGGTGGTCCGGGCCATGTAGGTCTCGGGATGGGAACCACTTCCCCACGCGCCGGAACTGGCCGTGGCGACGCGACGCTTTAAGTTGTGAGAGAGTGCGCGGTCAGGACGGGAGTGCTGTCAAGACTGCTGGTTTGTGTCAATTTGTGCTGCTGTATACAGGTCTTGTCACTTATCAGCACATGGGTTCTGCGCTACGCCGACGTGGTATGCTTAGCTCTATACCAGTGCGGTAAATTCCGACGAAATTGGCTAGGGAAACGTGCAGCGCATCAAATCAAATGCTTCACGCAAGGACTTAAGCTATTAGTGATTGTTTTGGTCCAACATATCCCAAATGTATGTCGTGTATTTTTGGCACGTAACGAATCAAATGCGCACTTTCAGTCGTCAATGTGTGGACGCAGCAACCTAAGCCTCCCAAGAATGATTGGAAGAAGAAAATGTCGCTTTCTTCTAGCCAGGTACGCGCGGGGCATGATGTTGTTTTGTAACCAAATTTATTTTGTACTGATCTGGACGTAACTCTAGGTGGTTTCAGACATTCACTGTTACGTATCTGACGACCGATCGATCCCCTGGGGTGCGTCTGGTGACCGGTCCATGTCTTAGGGTGTGATTGACGACTGGTCCGTCTCGCGGGACGCGTCTGACTGCCAATCTGTGTCGCGAGGTCCTCCTGAGCGCAGTTGTATCTCCGCGCCATCCGTGTGACGCCCGTTTCTCTGCAGCCGCCGGGCTCATCTGGCAGCATCGTGCCTCGTGGTGTGGCGCGCGGTAGCCAGGCGCGCGTCTCCACCGGTCACGAGGGCACCTACACGCCGCACTCGGCGGCCGGGCCTGGCGCGCTGGCCTCGCCGGCTGGCGCCAGCCCGCGGCCGGGCGGCCTGCGCGCCGCCGTCGCCGCCCACTCACCGCACGGCTCCCAGCTGAACCACGCCGGCCACGTGCAGCACCACCCGGCCGATCTCACCTCCAGGTGGGTCTCGCGCCAGGAGGCAGCGCCTCGTGTGGGGCGCTCGTGGATGATCGCCTCCACGCGTGTGACATGTCAGCGGATGCCGCCAGGGTGGGTCAGCGACTGGGTGCCGTCTTTTGTTCGGATGTCTCGTCACAGGTACCCTTCTTTTGTTATGTCATGAGTACCGTCTTCACGTGCGGTTCATGCCAAGGACTATCTGCGAGGAGGCAGTTATCCACAGATCGTCCACTTCCTGGATGACTTGCGAAAAAGCTAGCTGAACTACACGACGCCCAAGTCCGAACGAAAGCGACTTTTCGTCGAATGGACCTCGCTCTGGTTGTCAATGCTCCACTTGTACCGGCCTCTCGAAGCGGGCAGCGATGTCTGTGCCGCCCTGGTAAGATGAGCTCGGCCCCGCCCGCGCCGCAGGATCGGTAACCAGAGCTTGCGTGAGAAGCGCTCGTCGGCGGCGCAGCACCACTGGGGCATGCGTCAGGCCATGAGCCACACCTACATCAACTACTACGCCGGCTCCGACTGTCACCTGGACCGGCTCAAGGTGAGCACCGGCCGGCCGCGGCCCACGCCCGTCGCCTGGCGCTGCCGGACGCCGCCGCCGCCGCCGCCGCCGCCGGGGCGTGGCGCGCGACACCGGCCGGGGAGATGTCTGTCAGACATGGACGGCGCTCGCATCGTGACGTGAGGCTGCGTTGCGTGGCGGGTGTCTTGTCTGCGGCCAGGACGGGCCAGAAAGCCAGGCTAGTGTGACGACTGGTGCGACGCGGCGTGCCGCTGGTATGATCGCCTTCTTCACAGGCTGACGTGAAGCGTGGTTGATGCCGGCTGGCTTCCGTCGCATGTGCAGGAGTGCAGCCCGGCACGTTTGCCGGCTGATGTAAGGTGAGCGGCCGACCGACCGCCAGTCAATAGCCACTGCTAGTCACAGCGGAGCGCCGGTGTCGAGCCCGCCGCCCCCGCTGTAGGCGTTCGTCGACAATCGGCTAGTGAGTCAGCGGGTTTTGACCGGGCCCGACGCGTCTGACCGCGCCGCCGCCGGCCGGCAGGAGTCGCCCGGCGGGCACGCGTCGCCGCACGGCGCGCGCAAGCCCTCCCGCCAGCAGTACTACCCCGCCGACACGCCGCTACCGCCGCCGACGGCCGCCGGCGAGCCGCCGCCGGAGCCCGTATACCAGAACCTGGAGGAGTACCGCCAGCTGCTGCAGCGGCACGTGAGTGGGGCGGGGCCGCGACACCGAGAGCGTGATGGTGCCTCCGCCGGCTGGGTCTGCGGCAAAAGGACCGCTGGCGGTATGTTTTGTTGGGGATGTGGGATTGTCGCGCTGCACGACTGTTGGAAGTGCTTTGACGATATATGTTTGAGTACGGATCCACCGTAGAGAAACGTATCATACATTGATGCGGCAAACTTGCTGCTGGAACGAGAACCGTTCAGTATAAAAAAACAAAATTTGACAAATTGTAGTGAAAGATGGCGCCACCGCCGCGCCATTTGACGCTCTAGTATTTTGTGGCCGTGCAGCTAGCTGTTACTGCTTAATGGCATCGGACTGCCAACGCAAGCCTGTTGTGCGTTCAGGTTTGCGGCCTCTGATGGCGTTTTCTGTGTGAGCTCCGCTGGATGCTGTCGTGGCCCAACTGTCGCCTTATGTGTGGCCGATGTCTTTTCAGCGCGAGCAGCAGCAGCACCACCACCACCACCAGCACCAGCACCAGCACCAGCACCAGCAGCAGCAGCAGGAGCAGCATGATCAGCAGGAGCATCAGCAGCAGGAAGAGGAGGAGGAGAAGGAGCAGCATCAGCATCAATGGCAGCAGCACCAGCATCAACAGCAGGAAGAGGAAGAGGAGGAAAAGCAGCAGCAGGAGCAGCAGCAGCAGGAGCAGCAACAGGAACAGGAGCAGCAGCAGCAACGGGAGCAGCAGCATCATCAGCAGCAGCAGGAGCAGGAGCAACAGCAGCGGCAGCAGCAGGAGGAGGAGGAGGGGTGGCAGCAGGAGCAGCAGCAGCAACAGGAGCAGCAGCAGCAGGAGCAACTGCAGCAGCCACAGCAGCAGCAGCAGCAGGAGGAGGAGGAGCAGCAGTTGCAGCAGCATCAGAAAAAGAAACAGAAGCAGAAGCATCAACAACAGCAACAACAAAAACAACAACAGCACCAGCAGCAGCAGCAGCAGCATATTCTCCAGCAGCGACTTCAGTACATCAGCACCTACTCCAGCAGCACACCACAGCAACAACAGCAACAGCAACAACAAGCGATGGTATGCGTTCTCAGAGTTCCGAGGACCAGCCAACCAAAACTGACAGGACATTAAGAGTTTATTCAGAACCCAGCAATGGGTCGAAAACACTTGTGTTGACATTATGGTGGCTCGTAACTTTTGGAAATATGTAACGAAATCTGACGTTCCAAACCTGGTACGCCATTAATTCTCGTCTACGTATCCTGGCTGTCAGCTGAGCAACTTTTCGATGGTGTGCGCTGGCGAGCTAGGTATCGCGTCAAATTACCATTCCACCTTACACGAAGGTATGTGGTAATGATGCATTGCTCATGCTCATTGCTCACAAACAATGCTCATTACCAACGGTGCGCTGACAGCGAGCTTCTGGTGGCCACCGGTGTTCCGCAACACGGGCACCGCCGTGTCGGCGCGAGCTCGCTGATCGTGCCGGCCGGCTGTGTGTTCGCCGGTGCGGACGGCGGACACACGGCGGTCCCTTGGCGCCGGCTCAGACACGTGCCCGCGCTGTTTCAGTACACATTCGGCGGCGCGGAACTGCTGGCAAGCGGCCCGGCGCAGGCGGCCGCGCCACAGGGCTGCCTCACGCCGCAGCCGCTGGCCGTCCAGGCGCCCGGTGAGACGACGGGCCGGGACACGCTCCGCGCAGAGCGGGGCCGCTGTGGTCGGAACACGCTCCGGGCAGAGCGGGGCCGCTGCGGCCGGGACACGCTCCGCGCAGAGCGGGGCCGCTGTGGTCGGGACACGCTCCGGACAGAGCGGGGCCGCTGCGGTCGGGACACGCTCCGCGCAGAGCGGTGCCGCTGTGGTCGGGACAGCGATCCGGGCAGAGCGGGGCCGCTGCGGCCGGGACACGCTCCGCGCAGAGCGGGGTCGCTGTGGTCGGGACACGCTCCGGGCAGAGCGGGGCCGCTGCGGCCGGGACACGCTCCGCGCAGAGCGGGGTCGCTGTGGTCGGGACACGCTCCGCGCAGAGCGGGGTCGCTGTGGTCGGGACACGCTCCGGGCAGAGCGGAGCCGCTGTGGTCGGGACACGCTCCGGGCAGAGCGGGGCCGCTGTCGTCGGGACACGCTCCGGACAGAGCGGGGCCGCTGCGGTCGGGACCCGCTCCGGGCAGAGCTGGGCCGCTCACGGGCGGGGGGGGGGTTGTGCCGCGGCGTATGCTGATGTGGCCGGCCACACGCGGTGAATCCCGTGAGTTGCGGTGTACGGCGTCAGACGTTGGGGCTCTGGTACGCGGGCTTGACTCCTGCTGTGTGTCTGGCGTGAAACGCGGCTGTCTGTGCAGTGTCTGACATGGCGTGCCTGCTGATCTTCACAGCTGCTCCCGCCTTGGCCGTCGAGCTACCTGTGTAAGGCACTGCGCGGCCAGAGTGTGACACTGTGTGTCTGTGTGCGCCCAGAGCTGGACCTGCCTCTGCCGCCGGGCTGGTCGGTGGACTACACGCGCGACGGTCGCCACTACTACATCGACCACAACACCAAGACCACGCACTGGTCGCACCCGCTGGAGAAGGAGGGCCTGCCCACCGGTTGGCAGCGGGTCGACTCGGCGGAGTACGGCACCTACTACGTCAAGTGAGTGGCGGCAGCTCCCGTTCATCATAATCGTCGCCCAAACTGCCCGTTCGTCTGGTGGTGTGCCGAACCCGCCTCGCATGCTACGTCAGCTGTTGTACATCACGGCGGGGTGACTCTGGATCTGGGTTGCGTATCGTGCTTCGTACCTGTGCATGCAACACTTTGTAAGCGCTGTATTATATGCGGCAACGTCAGCTGCGACGTGCCGAGATAATCACTTCGTACGGCCGCGCCCCCACCGTCGGCACGCGCGTGCCGTCTACCAGCGGCGACCTGACCTGACCTGACCTGACCTGACCCACCCCCCGCCCGGTGCGCCGCCAGCTACATCACACAGCACACGCAGTACGAGCACCCGTCGGCACCGCGCTACTGCGCCGAGCCGCTGCACGCCGAGACGCGCCATCAGCCGCAGCTGCCCGTGCCGCAGCGGCCGTCCACGCAGCTGTCGCACTCGCTCGTGCCGGCCAGTCCCTACCTGCTCGAGGGTGAGTGCGGCTCCGCAGTCCGGCCGGCATCGCTGACCCGCTGCAGCGGCCGCGCCGCTGGGGTCGGGCCCGGCGCCGCCGGGGCCTGCGGACGCAGAACGTCAGCTGTACGCGTTGCACCGTGCTGTGACGTGCGCCATCTTCGTTTGTACGTGATTAGGGGGTTTTGTCACGGCTAGAGACAGCACCTGGCAGGCAGCGGCCAACTGGTGCAGCTATGGCCACGAATGGCCTTCGCCACCGTTGGCGCATGCGCTGATGAACAGCACTTCCGGCAGCGTGTTCGGGTGCTGAACACTCGCTTGGCCGCAAGCAAGTTAACTGCATATCATTCGATCTGGCGTCCAAACAGCAGTGTGAAACTGTGTTAAGACTACCGCCATAGAGTCTGTGGCCTAGTTGCCCAACCACGAATGTGTGGAGTCACCATTGGCCTGCCTCGCTGTGCTGTGTACGGACAGAGCAGTCCGCGTGGGGCCGGTGAGATGGCGTGGCGCTGGCGTCGCGAGGCTGTCCGGTGGGTAACGTCGGTTCGGTGACGCCGGCTGACGCCCACCCGTACCTGCCGCAGAGATTCCGCACTGGCTCAAGGTGTACAGCCAGGCATCGCCGGAGCACGACCACAAGCTCGAGTGGGACCTGTTCCGGCTCAGCGAGCTCTCCTGCTTCGACGCCATGATCATGCGGCTGCACAAACTGGAGCTGGAGGCCATCGTGATGAAATACGAGGCGCGCAGGTACGTGGCCGACGCGTCCGGAGGCGGCGCCGGGCCGTCAGCGCCAGCGGCGGTCACCGGCCGGGCATGGCGGCACAGTTGGTGGTCGTTCTCATCAGTCGCCGCTCACTGCGGTTTGCGTGCGATACTGGAAGTTCCGGAAATATCCAAACTAGTTTTCAGCTCCAACGAAAACTCGTCTCACAGTTTCATCACTTGCAGAAGGGAAATCGGTTTGTAGCTGATAGTGCTCTGCGTACGTGTTTTCCATTGCTAAGGTATTGCCGCTCAGCTGCTCACTTATAATCCTAAGAGCCTGTGCTGGCTTGGGACAAGGTTTATCCAGCACCTGCATTGCGTGGTGTTCACCATTTGCCATGCGTGCTGCCTGCATATGTAGCTTGAGGTCCTGCCAGGCTTTAATGACTTGTCCTCAAGGCCTCTCCTATTGCGTGGATGGCACCACGCTCCCTGACGCTGCCTGGCCCAGGCCCGCCAGTCCTTGGATCGTCGCGTTTGTGGCGCTGACGCCGTACCGCTCCCCCCCCCCCCCCCTCCCAGGATGGAGCTGGCTCGAGAGATGGAACAGCGGCAGCTGGCGGCGGCGGCCGAGCAGCCGGGTCCGGCATCGGTCGCGCTTCAGCCCGCCCCCAGTGCCAGCGCCAGTGTCAGCTCCAGCTCCAGCGTCAGTGCCACGCGCAGTGCCGAGCTGATCAAGCGCCAGCTGCTCGAGTCGGACGAGGCGCCCGAGAGCAAGGTGTGACGCCCGGGTCGTGCTTAGGCCGGGGCTTGTGACCAGCGCCAGCGCCCGGGGCAGTGTGTGTGCCAGCGCCGCGGTGGCGGCGCACTGGCGTGGGGAGGTGCGCAGCTACCGTAGTGCCTTTGTCCGGAGCCGCCGCCGTCGGCCGACTCGGCCAGTGCCACGGAAGAGCGCCCAGGGTGGGCGAGCTCGTCCGCGGGCGCGGTCCTGCGCTCCGATGGGCGCCTTCCCTCCCCCCCCCCCCCCCCTGGCCATTCAACTGCCTCTAACCGGCTGCCAAATCTGTAAACATTGCTTCCGTGCCTGAGTTACGGTGTCTTCCTGTCGGAGCGGCGGGGTGGCGGGGGTCGCCTACCATGGTTGTGGCCTTGTAACCCGGCGATCGCCGCGCCGGCCGTTTTACGCCATTGAACTGCCGTGTCGAGCCTTACGAATGGTTGTGCGCCGCTCTTGACGGCCGGACCGGGGACGCGCGTCTCCGGCCGCGTGGCCGCCAATGCGCGGCGGAGTTTTGCGAGCGCGGGCAGAGCTTTGGTGGCATTAATGGGTGATCGTGGAGGGAGATGACCAATCGCGAGGACCACGTGTTTGTGCCGGGATGTCCGCGGCGCGGACCTGACGCCGCTGCCGTCGGCCGCCCCTCCTGCTGCGTCGCGCCTTGCTCGCCGGCTCCAGGCGGACGGGGCGAGTTCGCTGTGACGTCACGAGGGTGTGCCGCGGCGCGCGGTGGACTCGTCGCCAACCTGCGGTCGTGCGTGAAGCTCGGAGTCCACGGGAGTTGGACGGATGTGGACAGGGCGTCAGATCCAGTCTTTCAGTATGAATCGCCGCCCGTGCAAATAGTGTTTTAGATAAGTGTAGTTTAATGATAACACTTGTGATATACTTGTGATTTATGGGAATAGACGGAATGCTTTTAATGTGTACTGCTTGTTTTTATGTCTGGTGTACCTGTGCATCGATGTTGTAAAGTTCTAAATAATTTACAGGTCCACCTGGTATCTGGTTTGACCACCCACGCGCCTCTGTGCGATCTTGGCCATAAGTCCGCGCTGAGAGGTAGCCACTGCTTTCGATCTCTCCGTTTCGGAGAGCTTGGCGTGCTCGTGGGTGCGGCCACCGGCCGGTGCATCGCCACTGTGGGCGGCGATGCAAGTACCGAGCTGCTACGGAGTGGCGGAGTGACTGTACGAGGAAGAAGCCACCGACGCGTCATTGTAATATCTGTATGCTACGCCAAACAGCCGCGGTTGATGGCATGGGCAGGGCTTGGGTGCGCTCAGGGACCGCCCATTGGACTACGAAAACTGACGACACGACTCAGGGCTCAAACTGGCTTCCTTCGTTCCTCGCGTTGGATGGTCGTCTCAAGTGTCGCTGTCCCACAGCACTCGTTTGGTGAAAAAGGAACTTTCGCAGTGTATTGCAGGTGCCCATCAGCTTGGCTGCCGAATCCACATGACCTCAGGCTGTCCGTATTGGAACTTACACGCACATATCCGGTCACCCAGCATTTTTATTCTCCGGGGCTGTGATATTGACGCCCCGAAGGGTAGAAACATGCCTGCCATTCTCCTATAATGCATTACTAGTAGGCGCCTCCGCGGCCGAGCGCCGGGGGCGGGGGACACCGGCCTCCGCGGCCGAGCGCCGGGGGCGGGGGACACCGGCCTCCGCGGCCGAGCGCCGGGGGAGGGGGACACCGGCCTCCGCGGTCGGCGGTCACCGCGACACCAGTCGGCCGAGCGCCGGGGGCGGGGGACACCGGCCTCCGCGGCCGAGCGCCGGGGGCGGGGGACACCGGCCTCCGCGGCCGAGCGCCGGGGGCGGGGGACACCGGCCTCCGCGGTCGGCGGTCACCGCGACACCAGTCGGCTGATGCCGGTGAGAGCGTGCGTCCTCGCACTCCGACCCGCTGACTGCCGTGGCCGGTCCGTACACCGCCGCTCCTGCAGCGACTGATCCCACTCGTATCTGCGTCCCTGTAGCACACCCACAACCTGCTCCAGCGGCATCACTACCCTGCGACCGTCTCCTTAAGGGCGGTTTCGCCGGGAAGGGCAGGGTGACGTTGATATGGCCGGGGCGAAAGGCGACCACAGCCGCCAGCGCTCACCGGCCACGTAGCTGTGCGGCGTCCTCAGGTTAGTCCGGTAGCAGTCACTCACCGAAGGTGTGGCGCGGCTCGATGGACAGCTGCGACCTGTGGTGCGCTCCCCTTCTGTCTGAACTCGCCAGTGCAACAGCTGACGCTCCCCTTCTGCCTGAACTTGCCAGTGCAACAGCTGGCGAACCAGGTCAGTGTAGCACGCGTCTTTCCCATCTTGTCCGCGCGTCCGTGCAGGTAATAAGATTCACTTTCCTGGACGCCCCGATTCGCGGGAGTGCAGGGGCGTCGAGATGTGTGCGGGAACACTCCGCTCCCAAAGACACTGAACATCGGCAGCCGAAGAAGAGACGGTGGTCAAAGCGCCAGGCGCGAATGTAAGAGATGGATTGCCTTTGGGGGGGGGGGAGGGGGGAAGTACCCGCTTATTGCACCTGAAGGCCATTGCATTCATCACGCACGCCGTTGTTACTGAACTAGTCGGTGCAGTTACACTTTGCATTTGCCATCCATTTGCAGCAGTGTCGACCTCATTTCTGGAGCGTTCGATGCACATGACCGTCACGTGATTGTGGCGCGATGCTGGTGTGATCTCCCGAGCGGCTGGCTCGCGAGCCCTTGTATAATCGGCACCTCATATGGCTCGGGCGCGGTACTGTTTGGTGTATGCGCCAACGAATACCTGGATCCCCGCGTTTGCAGCATCTATGATGCAATAGTTCCCACCATCCATGTCAGCAATGAATTACAACTTGGAAATGTCCGCCGGTGCGAAGCGTGCTGTCGGCCTCAAAACGAGAGCCATGTTATGGTAGCTCGCATTCGTCGACAGGCAGGCGACCCCTCGACAACTGGAGCGCACAGGATCAGCGTGTGAAGACAGCGGCTGGCGTAGTACCTGAGCTTCCACCGTTGCCACGGTCGCGCCGACCCTGGCAGGCGGCAGTGACGGGCGCTGGTCGTTGCATCGTCGATCCACACGGCTGGACGGAGCCAGACAGGTGGCAAACGCACGCAGCGTCGTCAGTGACGAGTCGTCCATGTCTTATGGTGACACTCCAGACTCCAAAGTCCACTGAAAGCGCGTAACTCCCACGACAGTTTATTACAAACCAGAACGCCACCGGCAGATGAGGAGAGAGAGACAGCCAGGTGATAAGCGTTAACAGTGGCTAACGCACCTCCCAACGGGCATAAATAAACAAAAATCTGCAATTACACTTGGAAGTGAATAACAACGGGTGCCGACCACGCCAGCGAGCCAGCGGACGGCGCAGTACAGAGCCACCACCGGGAGTAAGGCCACAGCCGCCACAGACCACAGCGGATATCACGCAGCCCGCCACCGCAGGCCGGGACTCGAAGGCAGATGGAGCCGGAATTCCCGAGCAGCGGCCCGACAGCGGGGCGACCAGGGCCGGCCGACACCGCCCGCAAGCTGGCATGGGGTAGACGGAATGTAAGCCACATCAACAGTGCTGCGTGCTTGGATCCTGTGCTGGAATACCGAGTCCGTAACCGTGTGCAAATAGAGCACCTTGGCCAACAAGCTCGCAATGCACTTTGCAAATTTGTTGGTAAAACCTCGCTCGCCCTCCGTAGTGATTTCGTGCAAATCACCTAATTCCTGGGTCACCGATCGAGACTGCCCCAAACGGCGGGTAACAACTTCGCCAGCACCACACGCACTCCCATAGCCAAACGACTGCCATCATCATTGATAACACACACACCCAACAGCAGAACCCAGTAACGCATTAACAGCCACCCGCAAATGGTAGCAAGGAAGTCGCACACTGGATTATAAAATATAGTGCAAAAGGCGACGACACAACAAAAGGCACTGAACGACATTGACAACTCCCATAGCGTCATCCAATCCACTCTTTCCATTCCAATTCCAGCGATCTTTGCGGTTCATTCCAGGTGATGTCGTCACTGACGTGGAATGTGGCGAAGCGCCCCATGGGAGAACATGGGCCGCTCGAGGGCTACGGAACTGCGCTCACAACCATTTCTAGTGATCCCGTCGGCAACCTCCAACGATCGAGTCTGCCACCAGGTGGCAGAAGAGGCGCTACTGCAGGCTGCCGGTCTGCGCCGTCTCGGGGATGAGCTTCTGCAGCAGGGCGGTGAGCACTAGCAGCGATGCCTGCAGGCCGGCCGGCTGGTGATGGTCCAGCCAGAGCGTGCGGTACTGTTCCACCAGGCTCAGCAGCCTGCCAGCCAGAGCTACCGGTTACACATACATTCACGCACGCGCACACACGCACCCGCCCGCGCGCGCACACACATACGCGCGCGCGCGCGTGTGACTAGAACCGGATCACAATGATGCGCACAGCTGGCACAGGCGGCAGTAGCACAAGCAAAGCCGCCACATGTTACAGGGACGCACGTCATTGGCATAGGTCACGCAGGCCGTCTACCACGGCGGACAACGACCTCACGGGCCACGGAGCCAGAGAAGCAGTGCACTACACTGTGTCGAAATTCACAGGCGTGAACGCACTCGCGTGCTTCACTCTCAAACACCAACAGCCAACACCAAAGTTCGACGCCGTTCTACATCCAGAAGAAATCGAACGACAATCCCACTTGCAAATAAACCGGGGAACGCGGAGACGCGGTCAGATATATGCGCCCCGTGCATTTACGTGCGCCAGTACATTGATCTGTCCGCTCGCTCTCGGCCGTTTTTACGGCACCGCAACGGCACGCTCGCTGCAACAGCAGGCGTCAATTTCCTCCGAACCCGTCCGCCGCTGGTGCAACGGCGGCACCGCTGCGGGCCGCGTGGCCACGTCCCCTCACTTGTTGGCCGTGTCCGTGCAGAAGGTGGGCGCCAGGTTGGCCACGCCCACGTTGATGACGGAGAAACCGATGTTGCTGTGCGGGTTGGTGCCGACCGACACCAGCGCCCGACAGATCCTGCGGCGTTCAACACGCATCCTCTGACAGGGCGCCTCGCCACACCCTTATCGCGGGAGGGACATTGCCGGACCTAGCGCTATGACACACACTTGACGCTCTAAGACATCTGTCGAATGCCGAGACCACCGAGACAGACACTACGCCTTCATTGGTGCACGATCCGCCTCGGTGTCTGCAGCGCCCCGACACGCGCCGTCCGGGCGGTCACGTCGTCTTCCCTCCGCTGTCCCGCCCAACGCGTCCGCAGTGACCTGCTCCCGAGTCAGACTCAGACACAGACCGTTCGCTCGCCGGTCTGGCGGCACCTGATCGACCGAGGCGGCCCCGTGCCAGCCGCCCCTCGCCCGGCGGCGCTGGCCCACTGACCTGACGGCTGTGACCATCAGCTCGGCGGTGAGATGCACCTCACGCACCAGACTGTCACCCTCCGGGTGCGCCGGCCGCGCCGACGGCAGCGTGTTCAGGCAGTGACGAACGCGCTTCATCGTTTTCTGGGGGACACCGCCGCGTGCTATAAGACCGTGCCAGACATCGACACTCCGCCACATCAGCGCATGGTGCGGGCGATGGTGACGCCACGCTGACGCCAGGCTTTTCCAATCGGCTGTCTTTACAACCCTCACCCGTCTACTGCAGTGGACAGGAACAAACTGACAAAGCCGCTTTTAAGCCGTCCTAAATCCGATACTACACAACGCCAACGAGTGATACTGCACACTACATGGCTGGAGCTGCTTCCCATGAATGAACATGCGACTGCAGCAACCTCAATTCAAACGCGCCGTCACCCAACACCCCCCGTTGCCTTTGTCCACAGCACGCCGCCACCAATTCAAAGCTTGGCAGCCGACGCCGCCGCTGTCGCCACGTGCCAGCACTCTGCTGCCGCCGGCCGAGCGCCGGCAGACCCTCAGACTCTCCCTTAGACTCGGACAGACTCGCGTTGGCGTGCCAGCACTCTCCCGCCGTCGGCCGAGCGCTGGCAGACTCTCAGACTCTCCCTCAGACTCGGACAGACTCACGTTGACCGTCTCCAGACTGAGTCTCTCGAGCGGCACGGTGTCGGGATCTGCCAGCAGGCGGTGCAGCGTGCTGCCGTCGGCCGGCGGCAGGTCGGCCGCGCTGGTCGGGCCCTGGCCGCGCGCCGCCCTCAGGCTGGGGGTGGCCGGGAAGTGGGATCACGACACGCCCGGCCCCACACAGATACGGCTACCACCACTGTCGCCGCTGTCCGGCACAAGGGCCCTGCGCCCGCCCGAACGCGGGGCCAGGGCCGACACAAACCCACGGGCCTGCGTCACCACCCGTCACCGGCCGGCACAAGGGCCCTGCGCCCGCCTGAACGCGGGGCCAGGGCAGACACAAACCCACGGGCCTGCGTCACCACCCGTCACCGGCCGGCACAAGGGCCCTGCGCCCGCCTGAACGCGGGGCCAGGGCAGACACAAACCCACGGGCCAGCGTCACCACCCGTCCCCGGCCGGCACCGGACACACGGCAGCGCTGACCAGGCCACCCTACAAGACATGACACGGCGTGTGAACGACGTCGCCCCAACCCAACGTCAGCCTCAGCCCCAGCCTCTCACCAGAATGTCTCGGCGCGCCCCAGCTCGACGACGGCGCGTCCCAGGACGCCCTCCGGCTCCCGCAGCACGTGCCAGCTGAGCAGGTCGGCCAGCGAGCTGTGTACAAACTCCTGCCGACAGAGGGCGCTCCGTTTAGCGCCGCCCGAGCGCAACGGCGGCTGCCCTCATCACGTGGGCAAGTACCCGATTAATAACGAATTGTATTATTGCGTAGGTTACACCACACATTAAACTACCCACATTTCAAGGATCTGTCTTTTGCGCAAATGCACCTAAATGGCCACGTAGACATTCATTGACCCCATGTGTGTAATCCAACACACCATTGATCCCACGAGTATAATCAAACACACCATTGACCCCATGTGTATAATCAAACACACCATGTGCTCGATGTGCGGCGGAATAACTGTCATCGCTAAACACACGAACCAAACCTCATTGTAAGGACGTGGACTGAGCAATTCAGAGTCCTTCATTACTAGCAGTTATCGGTCTTCAATAACCCAGGAGAACGACGCTTCCAAACGCACTAGGTTATATTATAAATACTCAACATTTCAAGCTGCGCGTATGATCACTCGTGCTCCCTGTCATGTGGTCACTCATGTAATGACTTATGATAGCGTGAATGTCTCCCGCATGGTTGTCGGATTGTACGCCGCATAGGGTGATGGGTAACTAATAAATTACCGCCTCCGCTTTAATACGAGCCACCCACCAACCAGCACGGCATGCAGGCCAGCCTCCACCAGTCAGGCCATCCGTTGAATCCAATGCAGTTGCGAAATACGACATTTTTCATCGGCCGATCAGATAACACGGCAGACCTCGGACGCGGGAGCTAATATGGGCGCACGAGACTGTGACAAATAGCCTCGAATCCGCAGCAGAAACGGGCGAAGTCTGCAGTGAATGCCGATGCATGCCGAACGCACAGTCCACTCATCCAATCGACTTACGTTCTTAGTGACTGCCAGTGGAACCGGCTCACTTGAGCTAGGATCGTGATCGACTCGGATCTCCCACAACACCGCCGCGGATCAGATTCGGTCCAACTCCACGCACGTCGACCAGAAGCCGGTATTGGTTCCGCTGAGGCGGGACTGGCTAAATCCGGCCACACGACAGTACTCTTGCGTATCATAAACATAATATATAAATTCCCCTCCTCCAAAACCGGTGAACACCACGCGAATGGATAATAAATTCCTTCCACGAACGACGCCAGCTACACTCCACACTGACAGGCCCTGGTGATTCATGGCGGCTGTTCTGTTCCATGTTGCATCACTATGCGCGCGCACATTAACTAAATGGTCAGTGAGCTTCAGTTCGCTAAATCCGGTGGTAATTCCGCGGCGCGCGCGGGGAAATTTCCAGCGCGCTGTCCCGAGGTCACCAGTGGCGGGCGCACGTGTAACGTGCAATCAGTGCAACGACCACTGCCGGGCAACTCCGCACACAGCGTGGTTGCCAGGCACAGATCAGCCTCCGTCAGAGGTCACCAGAGGTCACAGCGCACGACACGGACCGAACGGTGCAGTGAGCGGCCACCGGCAGCGACTCCGCCGCCAGCGCCGTCAAACACGACTCCGGCTGGCTGCACTACCGGACGTCACAGCGAACAGCTGTGGCCGCAAGGCTTCACTGCCGCCACTGACACAGCGCCAGACAGTGACAGTGACCACTGACAGTGACAGATAACAGTGACCGATGAGCCTAATGCCATCAGCGGTGGCACATTTACGGCACACGAGGCATCGGCAGACGCCGGGACGCACGAGAACCCACCCCAGACAACGCCACACGTGATGCCCAAGCTTTCTCAATATGCTAAATCGTTGTTGTTTCCCCTTCCCAAAAATGTAGGATCACAGGATAAGTAGATAAAGGCATGATCTGTAGGCTGCCGTCTGTGCTGGTGAACGCCGCCAACTGTACGCCCCGGTTATGCGACCTACGAGACCATGCCATTCGTTTTCTCTTGAAGCATTAGCAAGATGGGTTGCAGCGTTTGTACGGTGACGTGTAGCTGCCGCGATTCGGAGCAAACAAAATTGTTGTTGAATTTAAGACTACTAGATGCATACAGAAGCGTCGCCTTTTGTGCTGGTTCGCCTGATCACACAGAGGAATATTTGCGACTGGCCCCCACTAGTCATTCGACCGACAATGGCCATCTGATTCCACCACACATATACATACATTTACATAGGATACATTTGTGAACACCGAAACTTCGCCGTAGTTTTGCTTCAATAAATGAAATATAGCGCAAAAATGCGCAGAGGGTTTAAACATTAGGCAAATGAGACACATTGCAAATGACCATACCAATGACGATACTTTACAGCAGTTGTGTTTTTACTTTTTGTTCCGTGGAAAATCGCAACTATCACACAATCTCCTCGGCTGCACTTGCTATATACGGTAAAATATCTGCCGGCAAAGTAGGCAGCCCGCTGGCTATTTGTAGACGCTTGGACCACGGATGTGACGTCACAGATGGAGCCAAATGACTGGGCATCCCGTGTCGAGGCCGAGGGATCCCCGGGAGCCCACTTTCTACGCGGAGCGTACGTGACGGGCTGGACTTGGCGTCACCCCAGACTGGGACACGATTGGACTCGGTGCAACCCAGACCGGGGCGGCGGGGTTGGCGGGCTGGGTTGGCGGGCTCCAGCCGGCTGTGATGGCGGGCGGCGGCGGCAGCACGCGCCACCATACATGGGCAGTCAGCCAACCGCCAGAGCCGCGGCGCTGAGATCAGCCAGAGCCGCGGCGCTGAGATCAACCAGAGCCGCGGCGCTGAGACCGGTCAGAGCCGCGGTTCACAGGAGAGGTTGGCAGCAGCCAACTGCATTGCTTTCCGCTAGCCAGCTTCACGGCTTAAAACCGGCTGGTAGCAGCTACAGGTGGCAAAAAGTGGTACAAGCCAAGTACTGCAGAACACGTCACAAGCGAAAGGACTAAAGAGGCACAGCAAAATGACACGAACATTACGTGTCGATCCTTGCTAGCGTTATGTGGTACACTGAGCAGGGCTAAAATTACAACGAGGATAATGGCTGGCTGACATACACTGCAGGATGCCACAGAATGTTAGGGAGGTACATGGAATAGACTGCAGTTTACACAAATCAAGCGGCACAGATAAATTAATCAGTACAAAGACCACGAAATGGTTAGTTACCAATATGCCAGCAATGCAGTCGGTCGATTTTTCATGCAACTCAGTCGGCGCATTGTAAGAGTGGTACAGCATGATCGGCCGACAATCACGTGCTGGTCAACAAGAGCCACAAAATGGCCGACATTCAATGTTTCACCGACTAAGCATCAAACTGCCGGCAATCATACCGAGGCAAATGCAGCATCCAATTTGGGAGAAGGCTCAAACCTCAGTTCTGCATCAACACATGTTAAAGCCAGAAAACCCTGTTATTTCCACCATCCCATGTGTTCCGCTGCCGTCCTCCCAGGAGGCCGCGCGGGCGCAACAAGCGACGCACCAGCTGGCGCCCACGTCAGCTGGCGTGACATCCCATGTGTTCCGTTACCGTCCTCCTAGGAGGCCGCCCGGTCAGAACAAGCGTCGCACCAGCTGGCGCCCACGCCAGCTGGCGTGACCTCAGTGACCGCAGTCTGGCCCGTACATCATGCGTCTTGATAGATACGTGACCTGTGACGGCGTGCTCGCACGTACAGTGCGCCGCCTGGATGGTGCCAAACACATGTCACATGTCATGACACATTGGCCCTGGTACGCCTGATCGGAGTGGCCGCCCGGATGGTGCTAAACACATGTCACATGTCATGAAACGTTGGCCCTGGTACGCCTGATCGGAGTGGCCGGCCTGGATGGTGCCCAACACACGTCATGACACACTGGCCCTGGTACGCCCGAGGGAGTGCCTGGCCTTCATTTAGGCCATGCACATCTCACAAAGGCAGCAACATTGCATGCATCATCACTTTGTATTACGACTATAACACTCGCACATAGCGTTTAAAACATCGGCTAGTAACTGTCGACTTAAAGCAGATATAATTGTGCACATTGTCATCCCAGTTAAACTTCCATGGTGTCATATATCTATGCATTCAAGCATCACTAGAGGTGCACCAATTAGTGTAGCGCATGTGCCATATATTCTTATCCTGTCCTTGTGCTAGCATGGAACGTTCGACATTTTCACTGGATAGAAACTATTTCAGCTACAATGCAGTGGCATGCGTAAAAAGAGGAACTCTTCGGCTTTCTGAGTTTCTGCCAGCTAACACTAGTTTTAACTGGTACAAAACGGTAAAAGCCAAGAAGTCAGGAACTGGTTTCAGCTGGCTGAAAGGCCAACTTTGCAAGAAGAAGGGCTGATCAGAGCCACGGTCAGGGATGGACCGATCGGAGCCGCGACCAGGGATGGACTGATCAGAGCCGCGGTTAGGGATGGACCGATCAGAGCCACGGTCCAGGGATGGACCGATCAGAGCCGCGGGCAGCGATGGACCAATCAGAGCCGCAGTTCAAAGATGGGCTGATCAGAGCCGCGGCCGGGGATGGACCGATCAGAGCCGCGGTCCAGAGGCGGGCCGATCAGAGCCGCGGTTCAAAGATGGGCTGGTAAGAGCCGCGGTCTAGAGGCGGGCCGATCAGAGCCGCGGTCTAGAGGCGGATCGATCAGGGCCGCAGTCCAGAGGCGGGTCGATCAGACCCAGAAGGGGTCGGCCCGGGCCGACGTCTGTGGCCATGTGACGCAGGTGGGGCGGGCTGACCGCTCAGTTCGGCGAACGGACACCGGTTCCGGTGCCGTCTGTCAAAAGCGCGGGAAATACAGCGCCCGCCCTGCGGTCTTCCGGCGCGAATCGCGGCTGTGCTATGGTCGGCCGGCGCGGTCGCAGGCTTCCCGCCTGACGTCCAGCGCACATTAACCAGCGCCGCTCGGTGCCGCTCGGTGTCACTGCACGACACACGTCTGACGTCGATGAAGAGAGCGGAGCAGAGCCGGACATAAAGAACACCCCCTACGAGCGCTGATCACAAATCGTCCGGCCCTGAATTACTTGTTTCGATGGTTTCGATGGTGTTTGACCACTCTTTGGCGGGACC